TTTTTAGTTGTCCAGCTAATTTCTTTCTATTTATAGTAGAGACAGGGTCTCACTCTTGCTCAGGCTGGTCTTGAACTCCTGACCTTGAGCGATCCTCTTGCCTCAGCCTCCCAGAGTGCTAGGATTACAGGCGTGAGCCACCACGCCCGGCGGTAAGAATGTTCTTGAGAGGGAATAGCATGTAGGAACCTCAGAGTTCCAAAGAACATGGCTCTTGGAAGGACCAGCAAGGAGGACTGAGCAGTTAGAACAGAGTGAGGGAGGGTGAGTGGGGGGAGATGGAAGGACTTTGGGAGAGAATGTAGAGTGAAAAGTTTACAAAATTTCATCCTGGTAAATACCGGCAATTAAAGCTGTAGGTCATGGGACTAGAGAAGACAGTTTCAAGCATGAGGAAGTAGCCAACGTTGTCCAGTGCTGCCAAGTGAACTAAAATAACAACTTGGATTTGGCAGATAGGGTACTAAGGTGTGAATGTATGTATCCCTTCAAAATTCATATGTTGGAACTCAACCCCAAGGTACAGTATTAAGAGGTGGGGCCTTCTAGGAAGTGATTAAGTTACTTAGTGATTACGGAATGGGATTAATGCCCTTATAAAAGAGGCTTCAGAGAGCTGCCTGGGCCATCAATTTCTTCCACCATGTAAGGAAACGGAGAAGGTGCCATATATGAGGAATGGGCTCTTGCCAGACACTGAATCTGCTGGTACCTTGCTCTTGGACTTTCGAGCCCCTGGAACAGTGAGAAATAAATTTCTATTCTTTATAAATTACCCAGTCTAAGTTACTTTGTTATGGCAGCAGGAATGCACTAAGACAAGAGGACATCATGGGGAACTTCCTACAGGGACAGTTGATGGCAGTAGACCCTGGGAGGAGATGGAGTTGAGAGCATGAGTGAAATCTTGGAAGAGGTCAGGCATGCTCCTCTCTTACAATGAAGGGAAGAAGGGAAGACGGGGAAGCTGGGTGTGGAATATCTGGCATGTTGGCTGGGGCAGGCATGGGGCATTTCTATAGATGACTAGGGTCAGGAGATGAAGGGCTTGCATACTTTTATTCTCTTCAGAGGATTTCAGGTTTAGCTCTGACTCCAGTTTATTACTTTATCTGGAAACAATATCTAACATATTTCATATTTGGTGGGCACTAAGTTGCTTTAGTGGGTGGAGAACAAGTAAGTTAGCTTGTTCCCATTATGCCTAAAGTAAAACTATATAGGTTGTCAAGAATATCAGCAGAGGAGCCAACATCTCCTTTGAGGAACAGCCACTCTTCTGGCACAGATGGAAAATAACTTGCAATAAACGTGAACACATTTAAAGCTGACATAAAGCAGGTAAACCACAAGATCTCTCCTGGACTACCTTGGCAGATAATACAGTTTCACCACGATAGCCTGCTGCGCCCCTTTCAATTCTTTAAAACATCTATTATTTCCTATTCCTGGTGTGTCATGATGTTGCACATACATTATCTCGAATCTTCAGAACAACCCAGTGAGGGAGATTATATTCCCATTTTACTAATGGGGAAACTGCAACTCATAGAGGCCAGCAATTTGCTCAAGGTCACTAATCAGGAGTCAGGATTTGAACCCAGGTCAGGCTGAGCACTTTCCACCCCAACAGTGGTTTTGAATTTTGCTCCAGGGGCCACTGTGTACAACTGTCTGTCTGGAATAGAGGTAAGGGGTGGGGAGGGAAGGTCCCAACTCAGCTTCAACCTGGGAAGCTCCACATTTATCAGATTTACACTTGGGGCTTCTAGGTAAGCTTCATGAACAAAGGCTTTGGAGGAGAAGCAAAGTTTGAAAGGCATTGCCCTCGCGGGGGCCCTGAACCTCTCAGGCTGAAGCCTGGCTTCTCTTGAAACATTGCTCCAGAACTGCTTTGCTTACGTGATGCATTTGCCTCCAGTGTTCTCCCCGGGCACATCCATCCTCCATGTGAATGCCAGAGTGATTTTCCAAAATCTCAGCATGCTACTCCTCTGCTTAAAAACCACCCATGTTTCCCAACTACCTTTTGGCTAAAGCCTATGTTCCTCTTTTAGTATGGCCTGTGAGACCCTTAGTGATCTGGACCCCCTCCCACATCTTTAGCCTTGCCATTAACCACTCCCCAGCTCCCACCCTCCTGTCAAACCGGCTGACTTACAGTTCCTGGCACTTGCTACATCCACTGACCGACTCCCACTCACCCCTCAAGCCTCAGATCAGGCCTTACCTTCTGCCCCAAAGCCTTTCCTACACCTCTCCGCCTGTGGTCAGGCCCTGCCCTCTGTGCACCCTCCGTGCCCCTCCTCCACTCCCGTGCTTACCTGTCACAGCCCTGCTTCTCTCTCCTCTTCTTGCTCAGAGCCCCTTGCTACGATGCAGTTTTGCATCATCTGCTCAACTCAGCTTTGCTCCCGTGGAAAGAGGTTTCTCAGGGAATTTGCTCTTTCTCTTGGGGTAAGCATACCAGTCTTGCCTTGAAAAGCATACCAGAAATGCCAAGGGCTTGATGTTAGGCATGGAGAGTTTTCAGCATGGGAGTTTGTCCCCTGGAGCCAAACCTCAATTTTACATGGAGGAGGTAGGCTAGGCAGTATCACATGATGTGAAAAATCTGTGGGGAAGAATAGCTGACTACAAGAAAAACTATAGAAAGCTGCTTTCAAATCTTCCAGCTGACTTGGTTTTCATTTAGGAAAGAGCAGGATGGATGCTTGTCTCAGGACCCCAAATATGCTCATAGTTAAGATACTTAGGTTCAAACTTTTCCTATAAAGAGGGGACTACTGTTATAAGTGTCCTTTGAATGCTCGGCACACACCAATCTTTTCTCCAAGCCAGAAGCCTGCAGACTCAGCCATGTGGCAGGAAGGCCCTGCCCTGACAGCCTTCACCAAGCCCAACCCACCTTGGCAGCCGTCAAGCAGGAGGCTGTGGAGCAGAAAGCAGGGTCCTGCATCAGTTAGCCAGTTTCCATCTATAAAATGGGCACAAGGGTGGGGGGGTGTTAATGCCAGATGCCAATACCTAATGCCAGAATCTGGAAACTGCTTGCCCTCCCCTCTTCAATTATCAAAGTACATTTAGGAGAGAAAGGAAGTGCTATATTACACCGTGTAAATATGTTTAAGGTGTAGTTCCTAGAGACATGGGACAGGCTGAAAACAGCAACAGGGTTTGGATCATTTCATGGATGAGAAGACCCTAATGGGTTATTAAGAGAAGGTAGGAAAGTTTTGAGCACAGAGGGGACAAACAGGCCCACCAGGCAGGGATGAAAACCTCAATGGATGGGCTCAGGGTGGCATTTCTGGGCTGTTCTGTGGTGACTGTTTCTCCTTGGTGTTCAAGGATTGAGATGAGGATGGGGTACCGGGTGGCACACGGCTATAATCCTAGCACTCTGGGAGGCCAAGGCAAGAGGATCGCTTGAACTCAAGAATTCGAGACCAGCCTGAGCAAAAGCGAGACCCCCCCCATATCTACTAAAAATAGAAAAAATTAGCTGGGTGTCTTGGCACACGCCTGTAGTCCCAGCTACTCGGGAGGCTGAGGCAGGAGGATCGCTTGAGCCCAGGAGTTTGAGGTTGCTGTGAGCTAGGCTGACACCACAGCACTCCAGTCTGGGCAACGGAGTAAGACTCTGTCTCAAAAAAAACCAAAAGGTCTCA